AAGGAAGGATGGAGAAAAAAGGAAGGAAGGAAAGAAGGAAGGATGGAGAAAAAAAGGAAGGAAAGAAGGAAGGATGGAGAAAAAAGGAAGGAAGGAAAGAAGGAAGGATGGAGAAAAAAAGGAAGGAAAGAAGGAAGGATGGAGAAAAAAGGAAGGAAGGAAAGAAGGAAGGATGGAGAAAAAAGGAAGGAAGGAAGGAGAGAGAGAGAATGGGGAAAGGGGAAGGAAGAAAGGAGAATGGAGAAAAAAAAGAAGGAAGGAGAATGGGGAAAGACAGGAAGGAAGGAAGAAAGGGAGGAAGGAAGGAGAGAGAATGGGGAAAGGGGAAAGAAAAAAGGAGAATGGAGAAAAAGAAGGAAGGAAAATGAAGAAAGACAGGAAGGAAGGAAAGAAGGAAGGATGGAGAAAAAAGGAAGGAATGAAGGAAGGGCAATAGTGCTTAGAGGAGGCTGGAAAGCACCGTGAAGCAGCATACAAGTCTAACCAGTTTCCAGAGTCAGCCTCTTGCCCCCCAACAATCTGGGTCCTCATTTTATCCACCTGGGAAGGATGGAAGGCTGAGTAATGGTCGCTAAATGAACTGTTGTAAATTGAGGACTACCTGAACTAAAATTGGGCCAGGGTGATATTCTGCTCTCAGTCTTCCTGGCCAGAACAATGGCTGGATTTCTGGGAAGGGCTTGAACGGTGACAATGGGCTGCTGGTGAACCACTTTCTCTCTCCCTGACTTTGGCAGATGCTGGCGTGGGTAGCCGGCTCCTTGCCGGTTGCACCACGGGGGCGATGGCGGTCATGGTGGCCCAGCCCACGGACGTGGTCAAAGTGCGGTTCCAGGCCCAGGTCAGGACCGATGCTGGCCGGCGTTACCAAGGGACTCTGCATGCCTACAAGACCATCGCCAAGGAGGAAGGAGTCCGGGGCCTGTGGAAAGGTGGGCCAGGGGCAACGACCAGGATGTCCCCCAGTCTTGTGCCAGGGACCCCCACCCCATCTTACAGAAGCCATCTCGGTTTGGGGCTCAAATCATGATTGAAGGACTGCCTGTGTCCTATCCTGGCTAACACAATTGAAAGGTTTGGTGGGGCCACCACTGTTGAGGTCCCGTCACTGCCGGTGACCTTCAGAATGGCCCCCTCACCAACATTCTTCTGACAGCCCTCCCCAAGCGTGGATGGATGGATGGATGGATGGATGGATGGATGGATGGATGGATGGATGGATGGATGGATGGA